GTTCCAGTAGAATAGAAGGTCCTGCAGATATTATAACAAGTCTGATGTCTGACACGTTTACCAGTTTCTAGAAATCACCTTTCTCAGCAAATGTTTTTAATTGAACCTACAAAGATGGTTCTATGTCTGATCATATCATAGCAGCCACAAAACATTAGTGCATACCAGTCATAACATATTCTGGAGCTGCATAACCATAGGTACCCATCACCCGAGTTGATACATGGGTCTCATCACCCTGTGGCCCCGCTTTTGCAAGCCCAAAATCAGATAGTTTTGCCGTATAATCCTGCAATTTCCACCAATCTCATGTTATTCCGATAAACATAAAAATAGAGGGAATCAGGAAAGTTAAAGCTAGAGAAAATCAAGTGATTTAAATAGTTGAAGTCCCGGAAACATGACTTACAGAATCCAATAATATATTTGAGGTCTTGAAATCACGATAGATAACAGGTCTTTCTGCATTATGAAGGAATGCTAGCCCTTTAGCTGCTCCAAGAGCAATCATCATTCTTGTGGCCCAAGATAGTGGAATAGTAGCCTCTGAAAGCCTCAAGAAATACCACAACTTAGTAAGCCAACATTTATTGATTTTGAGGCAATAAGAACGTAAAATCATGATTCAGCAGCTTGAAGCCAAGAAGATTAGTTATTTCGGTTGAAGTATCAGTGATTCGAAGCACCAATAACAAAAGACAGGCACGTTTTCCAAACAATTGGAGCATAGACAATCATTAACACCACGAATCCGCTTTTCTAGAACTGTATTAGTCATAGAGCTAAATGCAATTCTTTTTGCAGCAACACAAGATTTTTTTATTAGGTGCGCGGCTGATGGTTTCTCCAGGTCTATAATATTCCAGAGGTTAATTAAAACAGTATTTTGGCATTTCAGTAACATTGCACAGAAGATTACTAGACCAAGTAATATGGTTCAACTAATGCAATTAATCCTGGTTTAAGTTACCGAGTTAAAAAAAGCTATAGAATGCTTAACCCTTAAGCTATCAATATTAGCTGCAAATCTAGCTGATGCTGAAATATTTCTGATGCATTGTATATTAAAATAACAGATAATGAATTAACAGTATCTAGGACCTTATCCACAAACTTGTTATTTATTACAGAAGGAGAACGGTCCCGGTTACTTTTTCTTTAGACAGCAAAAGTAATTAGTACTGAAGGGAAGAGCACAAAGAGAAACTGTTGGTACGACTCCAAAAGATCAGGCAGAAGCAAACTGACCTCGCCATCAATGTAGCATCGTGCAGTGGCTAAACCTCCATCCTTCAAGGTACTTGAATCCATATTCAAATGTCAAAAGGTGATTGGTGACTCAAATCTACCTCTACAAGGACTAATGAAGATGAGCATACCTTTTTTGGGGTGGTAAGGTCGCTAACAAGGGTTCGTTCAGTTGAAAATTCCATCCATTTCAATCTGATAATCTATTTAGTTGCTTAAGACTGAGATTGCCATGTATAAGCAATTTATTCTAAGGTGATAAAAGCAATGCCCTTAAAGGCTAAGTTAAACACAGGATAACAACAATGTGATATTGCAGTTAAAAAGCAGAAGCCAATTTGCAGCAGGCAAGCCAAATATAACATGTATTAGAATTATCACTAACTCGGCCAAAAAAATCCGTCGCAATGTTTAAGAAATGTGGCATCTTATTATTGGATAAGCATAGCAGATAGCAATCAGTAAATCAAAAGAACCATCATCAAGTTAGTCGTGACAACAGGAGGACAGACACATACTTCGGAAGAGATGATTCTCTAAGCTTCCTCTGAACATAAACTCATACACGAGCAAACGATGGTCATCCTCACAGCAATAGCCAATCAACTTAACAAGATTAGGATGCCTAAGCTGTCCAAGAAAGTTGACCTCAGTAAGCCACTCGCGGTGGCCTTGAAGTCCCTCTTTGTTAAGGACTTTAACAGCAACGGGTAGTGACTTGAGTCCAACTCGAACATTCTCATCAATGTAGCCCTTGTAAACAGTTCCAAAACCACCCTCACCAAGAATATAGTCAGATCGAAAGCTTTTAGTTATTGTTTCCAGCTCAAAAAGCGTGAAAGCTATTATGTGTGTGTAGAGTACCGCATTCTTCCTAAAGTCCTCTAAGTTCCTCGGGGTCGAAGGTTCACTCAGATCTGATGTAGACCGGCTATGACTGTGTTGTCTCTTGGCGTCACCACCTAAATTCCTGTTTGGCAACGATATCCCCTGCTGCTGGACTGCCCATCAATGAGAAAAAAAATCCTAAAATTTAAAGAGGTGAATAAAAGCAACTTTGAGAAGGAAAAAAAAAACTTAAAAAATGAGCTCAAAAGTTGTCACTCCAATTTGAGTACAAAATTGCTACTAAACAAAGGTGGATGCAATGTTGTGGCACCGGTTCATCTGAACCCAGTATTTTAGACGCTGAGCATAAATTTATGAGCAAAATTCACTTAAATTGCAACAAATAGTAGATACAAACTCATATTTTTTTTAAAAAAAAAATTCAATGCTAAGAAATTTAAAGGTTGAAACCGAGCTTAAATACTGGATCCACTTCTGCTATGAAGCATACATCTACAAGCAGTGGTTGTGCCTTGGGATCATTGCTAAGTGAAAACAATGGGGAATTGAAGTCAAATTAATAGTGAAATTGAAGAACTAAATTATAGATCTGAAAAAACAAAGAGAAAATGTTGACCTTGATGATGAGCATTGGAGATAACAGCAGATTCTTCTCTAGTACCACAATTGCCCATCTGCTACTCTCTTATTTTTGGGTCTCGTCTCATTCTTTGCCTTAACTAACTCTTCACTTTCCTCTTTCTTTCTGTGTAAAAACTTTTATAACAAACTGACAAGGCACGTTGTTGCCCAGTTTCTGTTCCAATTAGCACTAGTTGTAGTTGTAGTAGTAGATGAAGCAGAAATAAGTGTGATGATATCAACTTTAATGGTATTTGTGCTGTAAAAAAGAGATAAAGGGGCCAAAATAAAACAGTGGTGCATTGTGCTACACATACACGGAAGTCGGGGCCAGTATCCCCCATATTATTAAAATCCTTTAAATTAAATAAAGCTGAATACGCGTGCTTCACGTATCCCACCGTATGCCTTATACTTTCGACTTTGGGCATGTCCTTTTGCTTCTTTTCACTAGGATTCGCGCCGAAAAGTCTCTCATTGGGATAATGTGCGCTAGCGATTCCATACTCAGGGACTCAAACTCGAGATCTCTGGTTAAGGATGAAAGAGTACTTACCACTCCACCACAATTATTGTTGGTTGTGGTCGTTAGGTTTGTGTTGTTTGGTTTTAGAGATTAAGGGCTCGTTTAATATGAGGTATAAGGGATAATTAATATCTGGATTAAATTCGAGATGAGTTTATCTCATATTTGGTTCGGATAAAATCATAGTATAACTAATATTAGTTATCACGGGATTGTAGTATTTTTTATTCCTATGAGAGGGTGGGATAATTAATCCCGAGATAACTTATTTCCCAACCAAACAACCGCTAATAGCATGTTTAGTCAAGCTTCTAAATCAACTTATTTTGTGAAGTATTTTCTCAAAAGTACTTTTCTTGTGAGAGGCAGTTTGTGTTTGGCTAATTAATTTTAAAATCACATGTGAGCAACAATTAGTATTTGGCCAACCTTTTAAAAAGTGTTTCTAAGTATATTTTTCTCAAAAATGTTTTTCAGAAAAATACTTTTTAGGGAGAAACTACTTTTTTGTGCTTTTCCAAAATTGTTTCTGCTTCTACTCAAAAGCACTTTTTCTTCTAAAAGCTTGGCCAAATACTTCAACTTTGAAAAAAAATACCTTTTTTTTTTAAAAAAAAGATCATTTTTGGCCTTGGAGAAGCTTGGCCAAACATGTTATAAGTTATGCAAAGATTAGTATTGCTGAGATTAGTAATGTAAGAATTAATAAAACAAAAGTTAGTGTTATAGAGATTAATAATATAGATTTAATAATATAAGAATTGTATAATGCATGACTTATTTTTTGTTGAATGTTTAGTTTGATATATTGCATATATATAGTGTCTAATTTAAAATATTTCTTACTATTATAATGGTTAGTTTTGTTATTCTAAAATTCTAATCTATTTATTACTAATACCTGTAATGTTATTTTACATTTTATTCCGTATAAAAATACATATATTAACACTTGACTTATGCATGTATTGTTTATGAGAAAAATAAAAAGTATCAACTAAACATTGTGTTAATTCATGTTGAATTATATATGGAGATTACTCTCCTCAAATACCAATCAAAAATTATAAATTAATGCTAATTTTTATGTGGAGATTATATTGATTCACCCCAACCAAACGACCCCTTAGATTATTAACAATTTAACACTTAATATTGATGGCCCTCCAAGCCAGACAATAAACAACATGAAAATTTATTTCTCCTGCCCCCCTATTTGTTCTCTCTGTTTTAATATCTTTAAATATTTCCATTTCAAAGTTGTACCATATGCTCACCCCTATATTCACTTTGTGCTCTTATTGACCTCTCTAATTGAATACAAAATTTAAAAGCAAAGTCAAAATTATATAATGTAGCTTATGTGGATCAAACTGGCCCATTTGCACAAATAGCCACTTTAAGGCCTGTATTTTAAAATTAACCACAATTTAAAGTTTTAGAGGGTGAAGTGCACAAATATCCATTTTAGGACCTCTATATAAAGAATGACCAACATTTACACACACAAAAATTAAGTTTAACCGTCTCATAATTAATTTCATCAATCTTAAGTTGAAATCATGGGACAGAAGTTTTGAATGCAGTTCAACTTCAGACCTTCATGTTTAAGATGACAAAAGTTTTAGCTACACACATTGTCCTGATGGTGTAGTGACGTTCAGGTCTAAATTTAGTCTGCTTCTGATGGTGTAGTAACGTGAATTTCTGCATCTTATCTTTCATATTACAGTCACTTTAACTTTCGAATCGTGAATTACCAATAAGCAATTCAAAGTTATTCCGATATTAATAGTCAGTACTAAACTTCAAAAATAAATAAATAAAAGTGCATCCACATTCTGCTCCGCAATAGGAGAGTGTACCACGTGCGCCACTGTGCGGCAACCTAATGTATTCCGGACGCACATACAACTAACTCTTTACAAGTAGCAATTTTGTATTTCATTAGCATGAAGTGCACATGCTCCATGCAAAAAGGAAAACCAGAGCAAGTAGTCCCACTTGCATACACTGAAGGCTCAACGTCAAGATGACATATTTCACTTCTATCTTTTATGTTTTTGGCCAAAAAATTGCCTCGGTTAAACTAGAGGACGTCATGTGCACTAGCGTGCAGTTTGACGCAGGAACCTACTAAAAGGTTGAAAAGCAAAAGGCATAAAAGGCAAAAAAGGGAGCGAGAGAGCGAGGGGGGCAGCCAGAATCACAAGTTACATCTTCTGAAGCATCTGGCCCCACCAATTTATCATCTGCAAATAAACAACATAATGACAATTCATTTTCATACCATTGATGGAAACAGACAAAAGAAATGCGAGGGATTCAGTACTTTTTTAAGATTGAATTTATAGAGACGCAAAAGTAGTGTTTTTGGCCAAAAATGATAGGAAACAACAGGAAAGAAAACCTCTAAATGAATTTATTACAATGCAAAAACAAGCCATAGTGGTACAAGTAAAGACATGCATATTGAGAACACTAAGATCAGAAATTATCTATTCTTTATTTTCTCTCCTAATCTACTCAAAACACAACCTAGTGCTCTTCTATCGTTAAGAAAAATTGCCAACATCATAAATACAATGTTACCTTGATTCTGTAAGTCAACTAATCACCAGAGACATAACTCTTGATTCTGTAAGTCAACTAATCACCAGAGACATAACTCTTTCCCTCATAGTACCTCCTCTCACTAGCTGCTTTTTTCTCATTCCGTTTCTGCAAATATACATCATTATTAGATAGACCACATACATGTTTCAATTCAACCAAGCAAACAGGCCCAGATTAATATAGAAACAGGAAATTGCCCCAGTTCAACAAACATCCGAACAAATGGAGGGAATTGCATTATGGTTGAAGAAAAATATGATCCAATATTCAGCACCAAACTTGACACTCGCAGGATTATAGACCTCATCAAGCACTAAACAGCTAGTTAGGACCACTAAGATCGAACAAGAAATTCAACCATTTTCTTCCTGAAGATATCTATAAATGCACGGCTGGTGGTTTGGTTGATTTACTATATATCCGAGTCACATGAGGAAATAAGCGCATCTGGTGTAGTGGAATCATAGTACCCTCCCACGGACCAGGGTTCGGTTCCTCGGATGTGCATTCACTGTTTTACTCCTTTTCTTACCAGTAGTATTAGTAGCACTCCTGCCCCTTCGTATTCTTAGATCCTTCTGTTTCTTCTTCTTCTTCTTGTTCTTCGTCTTCTCACCTTTTCTGAGCCGAGGTCTATTGGAAACAGCCTCTCTACCTTCACTAGGTAGAGGAAGGTCTGCGTACACACTAACCTCCCTCCCCAGACCCAACCCGTAGGAAGGGTTTGTTGTTGTCGAGTCACATGAGGAAAATTTTGATAACGCGGACGGCAATTCAATGAAGTGGGAGACTATTCTTCAGATGTGGAGTAAAAAATAGGGGAATACTGGGAAAGCAATAGTACTTTGAAGCACGATGCTAGAACTATACGAGGAGATGGAAAAACCAAGAAGCAACCTGTGGAACTGGAACAGAGGATGCAAGTGGTGTAAGAGATCTGCCAACTCCTCAGAACCTTAAATAAGAATGAAGGGTCAGCTCAATGTTGGTTTAGAATGGCGGAAATGAGTCTTGGGGTCAATATGAGAAGAGAACAAAAGAGATGATGCTGAAACAGCCAGGAGACAGCAAGAAGAATGCACACGTAGTGACAAGGAGAGTTCATATTGAAAAAAAAAGCACAAAACCAGAAAGAGCACTAAGAGGACTAAGAAGGAGTTTTAAGTAGGATGGCAAAATGTCCAGCTGAATCAAATTGATTGCTGTGGTATCATAAAAATGAGAGAATTTCAGAATGAATCTCGAGGGATTGATATTATTTTATAGTTAAGTTTACGGTCTTACTCTACAGTCTACATTATAGCATGGGCTGAACCTATGTTTTGTTTCATTATTTACTTATTAGAAAAATTCTGCTAACAGCTCAGAAGAACAAACAGACGGTTTTCAGAAACCCTCGTTCAAATAAATATAAAAGAAACTAAAAAGTACATATTGGAGGAGAAGTAACCTGGTATGCCTCATGATTTGACACAATTCTCCTTATTATTGTGCTCGTTGTAATATCTAAAGGACTATCCAATATTTTAAAAATGTCCATGCTAATTGGTACAGCATATGGGTTACCCTTCTCCTGCAAATTAAAGAATCATGATCAACAAACAAAGGACCTTTTAACCCAAGATTCTCGTAAAAGACCACATATAACCATAGAGTACCTTCTGAAAATCATTATCCTCGGCTACTGTTCCATGAACAACTAAAGAGATATTGAAGGTAGTTATCTGCATCAGTGTCCAATTGTAGAAAAAGTCACTACATGATAAATGAGGAGTAACATGATTACACTCTACGAGATCAACTCGAGTGAGGGAAGCGTTAGCTTTCAAATTACAGTTTAGAATAAAGCATCTAATTTCTTTATCTCCAAAAGGAACTCTCTGCTCGATAGAGATCTTATGGAAGCAAAGCAAATGAAGATTTCCAGTCAATACCAATAACTCCTGAAATTCCCTCTAATCAAACATGACTTGTGAAAGAATACATACAAAAATCAACAGCCAACAAACGTAATAAATTTCTTTTTGGGGGAAGAGATAAAGTGAGATTAACTTTGTTTCTTTTTATTTTCTGATAGGCAGAGTAAGTTTACCTATTAATAGGAAAATTATAATAATGAGTATAGACTTAGCTCTTTTGTCACAAATGAAATTGCAAAATGCAAACAAAGTTACTTTTATGAGGAAAATGACTAAATACAAAATTTCCCAACCAAAGGGAGAACTGAGCCCCAAAACTATAGGATTCTGGGCCTCCCTTACCATTTAAGCCTGCACCCATGTCGGTAATTCTTTTTTATAACCGTGGAGTCCGGTTAGTTTGCGCACACCTCGACTAATTCCACGAGGTACCTGTCACCTCCCACCAGCACCATGTACCAGATAACTCTATCCAGCAAGGCTTGAATAGATAGGAAGAAATCACCTAGTGTTTTTTGCCTCCGCTGGAATTTGAACATGAGACCTCATGGTTCTCACCCACTTTATTGACCACTAAGCCATACCCTTGAGTGTCCCCTATCGGTAATATAAACTGTCCATACGAGGATATTTCTGAAAGTCCAAATTAAAAAGCTTAAGGCCGACATGTTGGGTTCTTTGAGAAGTTATATTTAGTAAAAATACAACCTGAGTTTAATCAGATATGTTTCAAGAAACAATAACTAAGAAGCTACAAGCTAAGTTGCTCGGACTCGGGTGCGGGTATCTGATACTGAGACGGATCCGTGTATCGGATTCGACAAAATCTAAATTTTAAGATTCGGATATGGATACGAGTGCAGGGATTCGGCTAATAAAAAATAGAGCTATAAAAATATAGTAAATTTTGAGAGATATTTGGTGAAAAACTTACATGAATATTGTAGAATTCAATCTTTCATTCTCCAAGATGGACATTATTCTTTCATTCTCCTAAATCTGTTTTATTTTTGATTTTGAGAAATCAAAATCTCAATTTTACTCTCAAATTTGTCGACAGACTCCGGTCAAAGCGTCCGAAGTCGGTTGACCGTATCCGGGACATATCCCGCTCCCGTCCCGTCTCGTATCGGGACAAAGACGGCACCAAAATCGAAGAGTCCGCGCAACTTAGGCTACAAGACAAAAGCCACATTAAGTAGAAAACGGAGATAATTACATCAAAATACATATTGAGTGTCCTTACTTCAGCTTTTAGCACATTCCTTAGTTTGTTACTTATTTTAGCATATTCTGTATATAATGAGTTAAAACTTTCCACCCATTAGTCTATCAAACTCCCCTTCCCTCTTTCCCCCGCTTTTCTTCTCCACCACAGACCCGATTGCGAAACACAAACTGTGAGTCCTATTGATTGTTAATTGACAAACTCGAATTAATTTTTTGTTGTCTTTCGAAGCTCCCCTAGAGTCTAAAGGTTTCAGGTTGAGCGAGACTAAGACAGAATACTCAGAGTGCAAGTTCAACGATGTGACAGGGGAGCGGATGTGGACGTGAGGCTCGACTCACAAGAGGAAGTTTCAAGTATCTTGGGTTAGTTATTCAAGGGAATGGGGAGATTGACGAGGATATCACACATCATATGGGGGCGGGATGGATGAAATAGAGGTTAGCATCCGGCGTCTTGTGTGACAAGAAAAGGTAGGTTCTACAAAACGGTGATTAGACAAACTATATTGTACGGAGCTAAGTGCTGGCCAGTCAAGAACTCCCATGTCCAGAAGATGAACGTAGCTGAAGTGAGGATGTTGAGATGGATGTGCGTGCACACTAGGTTGGATAAGGTTACGAATGAGGATATTCGGGCGACGGTGGGTGTGGCCTCCATGGACAAGATGCGAGAAGTGAGCCTTAGATGGTTCGGGCATGTGAAAAAGAGAAGCCTAGATGCCCCAGTTAGAAGGTGTGAATGGTTGACTTTGGCGGGTACGGTAAGAGGTAGAGGGCGACTTTGGGGAGAGGTGACCAGACAAAACATGGCACGACTTCAGCTTACTGAGGACATTGCTTTTGATAGGAGGGGGTAGAGGTCGAGAATTAGGGTAGACGGGTAGCAGGTAGTAAGACGTTTTTCTGATCCTTACCGGGTTGTATAGGGCTAGTCTAGTAGTATCTTGTCGTTGTTCCTAGATTGCTAGTATTAGGGCTATTTCTTACTATCTTCCGCTTCGGTTTTCTAGTATCTTGTCGTGGTTACTGCTTATTGCTATTGCTTTCTTCTATCTATTTTTTTCTAGTTCTTACATTGTTGTTATCATTTTTCTGGCTATTGTTGTTGATATTTGACTGTTTTCTATTCATTCTCTCGAGCCGAGGGTCTTTCAAAAATAACCTCTCTATCTCCCCAGGATAGGAGTAAGGTCTGCCTACACACTACCCTCCCTAGACCCCACTTGTGGAATTTCACTGGGTTTGTTGTTGTTGTCTTTTGGAGCTCAAATCGTGGTTAGAAACTGATTTTGCAAGATTTGGGTGGTAAAAATCATATTAGAAAGGTAACCAACCATTGTTGAACAAGCTTGAAGACGAGTGTTTGAATTTCAAATATGATTTTTGTGAGAAATTTGGAATGGATGTTATTCAGACCGGTTGAAATAGTCTAAAGAGGATGTCTACAAAATTTGAAAGTCATTTGGTGGACATTTGGACTGATTACGAATGAAAATTGCAACTGAAAATCGCATAAGGAGTTCGTCATTGTAGCTAACAATGTTTAGACCCTTTAAACATTGTTACACACTTTTATACAAGGTTGAAACATGTTTATACATTACTATACACTTTTATACAAGGTCGATACATTGCTTATATAGGTGTAATAATATTGTATAATAATGTACGTTGCATACAAAATATTGGCCATGCGGGTGTAAACTGAAAAATATAGCTACATGGGTGCAATGTGTTGTGTTGGGCCGTATATCTCCCTAGAAAAAGCCATATCACCATAAGTGATTAAGTTATAATCTGGAAATGATTCCTAATATAGTAGCTATCATCAATCTGATTTCCATGAAAACTAAGAAAGCCATAAGTCATCCTGATTTATAAATAACATTCAGAAGGTCAACGCAAGTATTGTGGTATTTCATTAATGTCAATTACTGTTTGGCTCCAAAGATGAGATGTGTCATAGTAAAAATGTTGTGAATCCTTGCAATCATATAATATTGTAGCATCCTTGATCTTGGACCACCATTAATAACGAGATTGTAGGAGAACTGAGAAGTAGACGAGTAAAAATAGCAATAATAATGTTAAAAACAATTTTCTCAACAGTGTTTATATTAGTAGCGATTACCATATCTTTTGACACCTCCCATGGAGCACCAATAATCACTTCATCAGTGTAGCGGCAAGCCAAAACACTTAAGCTCCTTTCATGAAGATTCATAATTGGGCGATGCGCACCTCTATTGGCACTGTAAAATACAATACGGAATGAAATATGAGTTCTTTGACCAAACTTGCAAAATAACTAAGCATATTTCGTTATGACAAAGATAATCGATCTTGCAGCCAGCAAACATGCTAAGTATTAGAGCACATGCTGCTTTATCCACAACAACGTCAAGTACTGCCTATGGATTAGCATAATTGATCAAGTATTTTCCAGCAACCAATGTATCCAGTGTCCCTATCTGAAAGTACATTTCTAGAGTTCTGATCAAAATGCCCAAAAAAAATTAAATAAATTTTCACTGATGGGTCACTCTCTGCCCACTTCCCCAAGCTTGTCTTCTATGCCTCTTCTTTTAGCTATATGCAGAGTTATTCCATTAATCCTATCTCTTTTTCCTTTCTGATTAAAAGAATTTTCAGCATGAAAGAAAGGAATACAAATGATAGTGCCATAAAAGACATGTTTCCGGTTCCTCTAGGGATCAGCATTAAACACAATAATCCATCATATAGAAAACAAATATGTACTCAAAATAGAGAATGGACATTTATTATTCAAGATTCACAGTTCTTGGAATATGATTCCCTCAATCTCAACTACAACAGCTAACATGGCACTGCAGCATCTTCCAAAGAACTTCCTTCTTTTTTTAATACGCGATGCAACTAATAACTTTTGATTGCCTAATCAGACCTGAAATGGACAATTGCATATAAACCAATGTTCACTTTCCTACTGACAGAAAGCTTAAATTAATTGAAGGTGCAGAATTTTCTTCCTTATATTTGAGACGAGTTCAATTTTCAGCTGAGTAGAAGGTTTGTAAAAGGTTAGTAGGTAGTCGAGCGTTTTTATTTTTGGTAGCATTAGTGTTAGTATGGTATCCTTCTAATTCATAGATTGCTATTACTACATATTGTTGATTGCTATCTTTCGCTTCGGTTTCTTAATATCTTACTATTGTTACTACTTGTTGTCACAGCTTTTCATTTTCTCTTTAGCCTAGGGTTCCAAATACCTTATATTATAGAAAAGTTTGAGAAAGGGGCATCTCTGCCTTCCCAAGGTAGAGGTAAGGTCTGCGTATACACTACCCCAGACCCCACTTGTGGGAATTTGCTAGGTCTTTTGTAGTTGGTGTTGTCAATTTTCTGCAGAAAGTGCTTCTGATAGGGAATATGGAAAAACCTAGCCTTATTTTAACACTACTGGAAATAAATAAATAAACAAAATGTTCTTTTGCTAACTAATATAACTTTCATAGGATATGATTCACACATAGCATGCAGTGTAAGTCTCATCGTCAACCATATTTTTTCCTCTTAACATATTAAACAAATATCATATTAATACTCCACTTGGCATTCTTAGTAGGGAACTGAATTTTTTGCAAATGCACATATCCAGAGCCAGATTTCATGAATATAATATTACTAACCTATCAAGAAAGCAAAGATTGTTATCCTTATGATAGTCCCTTTCAAAAATAAAATCAAACATCGGATAGTAATTTTGCCTGTCTAATGTCCTTAATCTGAAAACCAAACCTTCCATAAATAAGGAAGAACTCGTGAGTTTACTCACACATCCTCCCAAAATATCCTCTCCTTACTAGCAACTTCTTTTAGAGAACCAAGTAAATATCAATCTGGGTGGAGAAGACTAGCATATGGTATTACTTATTAGATTGGAGGCAGTTACAGTTCATATGGAAGGATACAAGCCAAGAGATAGGCGGTATTTGTTCAAACTGAAAAGGAAAATTAATGAGCAATCATTTCAAGACTTGATAATTTGTGGGATAATGATTTGTAAATGCAGAAATTAAAGATCAAGAGAGGAAACTAAGAATAATAAGGCTAATAACAAATGTCCATATCTTAAAGATCAAGAGAGGAGGAAACCAAGAATAATAAGGCTAATAACAAATGTCCACATCATCATGTATAATACGTGCATTTTCCTGATAGTCCAGAAGTTATGCACGTTAAGCATCAACTGCGACAAAATAAGCCAAGAGGTAAGGAAATAGCACCTCACTACCAAAACTCTGGCTAACGGAGCCATGATCTGCATGTTTGCAGACCACTTTCACATACTATAAAGGTTAAGAAAGATAAAAAGAGAACTTGTACAGCACATACTAGAACAATCAAGAAAACCACATTTAAAACTAATGTTGTTAAGGTTTTATCATCCTGAGGAAGCGTCCAAATACAAAAAAATTTAGTAGGTGAGGATTGTAGGATAAGGAAAGTGGTTCCAATGGATTATCTGATATTAGAGCACAGAAGCACAATTTAGGGACTCATACCTTACAGTTTGATCAGTATGAATGCCAACAAGTAGAAAGTCTCCAAGTCCTCGAGCAAGCCTTAGTATCTAAAGATAACCACAAAAGTGAGAAATGAATCTACACTGATGCATGCATTATGTTGAAGACAAAATTAAGTAAATAAAAGTTTGTTTACTTTAACAGCTTAAACTTTTAGATAAGATGGTTACACAATTCAACATGGTATCAAAGCAGACAAAGATCCAAAATTTGATCTCAGCGCTACCCATTATCAAAAAGAATCAAGCCCGTACGTGAGGGGCGTGTTGCAGGCATAATTAAATAAAATAAAAGTAAGCGCTCTGTCTTTAACATCTTAAGCTTCACATTAGACATACACAAAAAAGACTAATAAGCAGGAATAAGAAATACGACAAGGGAAAACAAGATGCAGCTTTTTTGTGAAAAGTTTTTTTTATGATCATGAAAAAACTTATTCAAAGATGATGTTTTTATAAAGTTTTTCAAAAATCTCTGAAGGACTTTCTCAAAAAGATGTCCATTGAAGAATACGTATCAGCAACTTTTTGAAGAAAAATTCTACTTTCACCCAGAAACACTTACAACCTTCAAAAAACTACAACAGTCCAAACACATTTCTTTTTGCATAAAACTGTCCAAACACGTTTCTTTTTGCATTAACTTTTTCTGCAGAAGTTCTTTCAAAAAAGATTTTCCAAAAGTTGTCCAAGCGGCTCCGAAGAAAGTTAAGATTGAGATACTCGGCAAAAGGTGGGAATTCCAACATATTTGCAGAAACGGTCTTTTACATATTAGATGAATCAAAACAGTTGCAATACTTGTGCTGAGATCTATAGAAAAAATGTCTAAAAGCACAAGCTATTGGGTAAGAATATATTTATTCCTTTGATCTTCAAGAGAATCTCTTCTCTCGCAGTCATTTTCTTTTTCCACGAAAAACATGAAAATCGTGACATCTATGAACTATGATACCATGTTGAGTGTTGTGGATCACTTCAACCATAAGCTAAAGTTATTAAAGGACACTACATTTGTTTACTTTTTTATATGATTCTTTAAAATATAAGCATCCTCATTTTTGTAGGTTCTAAGCCAGATTACTTACCTCTACATGTCCAGCATGAAAGAGATCAAAAGCACCATCAATATAAACTATGCGAGCACCAGGTCCAGCTCCCTACACAAACCGCTCGACAACATTATAAGCAACAAATGTACTTCATAGCAGCAACATAGAACCCAAAGAAAAAAAAGAACAGACAACAGCAAGATGTGTTGAAAGGACAACAGGTATTCCTAAAAGATCCATAAACTAAATGTAAGACAGATCATGCACTGATGGTTAAATCATAATTTAAATCTATTCATAAGTTTGCCATATTTTCCCTCATTTGACTTAATTTTGCATCTGTTTGTAATGTTTAAAGGTTTAATTTGCAAATTTGTGCTGTTAGAAGCTAACAATTGGAGTGTGATGAATATGCAAAGCTTTGGCATCAAATTAGAACAAAATGAAGCCCAGTGACAGAGGAAAAAATGGAAAAAGATGTAAAGAAATAAGACAAGATGTCAAAACAAAGCGATAGAAACAAACGCACAAAACCAATTCATAGTGTGGCATGTTGAAGGCGGCCTGACACGCCTGGGCTGTCCAGGTGATTTTTCATTTATGGTCGTTTCAAAATTTTCCTTTCTTTGATGTAAAATTATAAATAGCGGTCTTGCTTCAGCAGGTTGATATCAGACGTTTGAGAACCTTGGAAGCTACTCAGTGGAGAATTAGAGGTTTTCACGGTGTCTTTTCTTCTCTCTCTTTGTTTCTTCTTGATTTTGTTGTTTTGTTCTTTTGATAAAATTGTGTTGTCTCTATGCTAAGAGTGGCTAAACAGCTTGTTCTAGGTTATGGGGATATTGACATGAACATAGTGGTTTGAATCTTAATTTCAAAAAACTGCTTTTGCTTTCATGGGTTATTTATTCAACCTCGTGCTTTATTGTTTGATGGGATGATTGCAAATTGAATTCTACTTACGGATCCTAAAAAATTGAAAAAGAGATACGGTTGCTGCATTAAATATTGTAAGTTCATGAACCAATGCAGTAGGGGCTTGATTCATGGGTAAGAAATTATACTTGCTTGCCTTACATAACTTATGAATGCAAGAAACTATAATGTGTTTCTCATAGAAATATAGTGACTATGTTAATTTGAGTAGACGAATCAGAATTCAGAAGATTATTCTGAGCAAAGAGACAGTAGGTTAAAAGCCCTTGCTAATCAATTTATTTGAGATAGAATCATAACTGGATTGTCAAGGGAACCCATAGCTCTAGGCTCTTTTACTATCAAATTCCTAAGATGTTTGAGCACATCAGTTTTTTATTTTCTTCTTTAATTTAGTTTAATCATATTTCTTCAAATCAAACTAGTTCTTTCTCGATAATTAGGTTTAGCCTGATCGTCAGCTAATTAAATAAAATCCTCGTGGGAACTATGATTTTACTCATCCTATGATACTTGTCTAATCGAGTATACTTGTGGTGCATTGGTAGCTCATATTAATCACCCTATCTTGAAGGAGTCAAGGTATAAGCTAGCTGGATCAAAAGAAAACTACTAATGCAATACATGAGCATCAACATTTATCAGATTATAAAGCTTTCATTGATTCTAAAATTTGGCAATCAATTAAACCATTCTCTTATACTGAACACAACCAATGGGAAGAAGAACAACTTTGCTCAACTAATTCATGGCTGAAAAAGTTAAACATGCTAGTAGAGCATGAGAACAACCTCAACAGGAAACAAGACCTATCCTAAACTCAATTAGTGTTCTAGGTAGTAGACAAACAGCAGACTTTGTTTTAGTTGCTAACAAGAGGTGGAAAAAGTTGTTACCTTGAAATTAGATCCCACAAAATATATTAAAGGTCAACTAACAAATTGGAATTAGAGAAAGTAACGTATCCGCTAATTGACAAGTCTCTTTTCCATTCCCAGACAACCGACATGGAAAAAGGGTTAGAATGTTTCAACCTAGCAAAGTAAAATCTCAAAGTTTATGGATAATCAAATTGCAGCATTATAAAACTCAAGTTTTAGCTTTCTCCAATGTGAGGGAGAATGATGAGGAATGAAAGTGGATGAGAAAGAGAACTTCCTAAATTATTTTCTGGACCAAAATCGGAATCATGTTTTAGTGGGTTTACATTCAGGTATTGGAATTATTTTACTTATTCAAGATGCAATTTAAGTCTAGTTTATACCAAGCATACAAAGTCCAGGATATATGGAAAAATAAAGCCCCATACATGTTAAGGGTTTTCTAGGTTAGTAGAAAATGAGGCATGTTTAACCTGAAGCAATATCCAGAAAAGGGGCCTACAACATGTGTGACAGATGCAGCCTATGCGGGGAGCCATTAAGAAACAGAAATCACCTCTTCCTTTATTGCAGAATCACTAGCCAGATCTCCCATTTCAAAAAAAGAATCACTAGCCACATCTGGGATTTGTTACTCAACACACTGGGAAACATATGGGCCATGTTCGAGGCTACTCTACAACTTCTAGAAGGGTGGTGCAGAAATGATTTGCATAGGGCTTCTTCTGACATCGAGTGTACAATTCCTGCTGTATAGTTTGGTGGTTATTTGAAGGAAGAATACCAGAACTTTCTAAAGCAAGAAAGGCAAAGTGATTAATCTTATGACTAGGTGCTTCTTTTCTTTTTTCTTTCTTTTTCTTTTTTGCTTAGGTGTTGGTGCAACATGGCCTACTCTAAATGTAGATGATATTCATGACATTGCTGATTTTCTTAGCACATTAGAAACTTGTAATGTTACCACACTTTGGTTGTAACTGATTGCCAGCATTTCCTTTTTGCTGGTTTTCATCACAAAAGTTACACTTTACCTCTCCAAAAGGAGTCCAGGATATTTGGAGTTTAGTACCTTGTATTAAACTCAAGAATCAGGATATCTTAAATTTTGTTATTTAGTTGTTTTTCTATCTTGTTTTTTTTTCCCGACAATGGTGGTCTCGGGGCTAACTTGCAAACATCGAGGCTAATATATCGGGAACCCACTACCTCCCACCATCACAGGAACACTCTGCCCACCAATACTTAGACAGATGGAGAGAAATCGCCTATTATTTTTGCCTCTACCGGGATTTGAAACCTATTCTCCCAGAATCCATTCCAACTTTGATGTCCACTAGGCCACATCTTCTGGGCCTCTAGTAGTCGGAATAGGATAAGAGTTGTTCCAATCGCCTGTATGTTTTTTCTCAATTAACTGGTGGACAATAAATAACTTTAGCACTACTTTGACGAGACNGGGGGGGGCAATTGTTTCATCACCACCACAAAGTTCTCCTTCCATCAAGCGATTCCTCAACCCATAAAAAAAAACAGCCACTAACAGCCTAACTTTTACTGCTCTCAGATACTATTCACAACCTCAGAACCCCATGAATTCTCCCTTTTATTTTTCTTCCCTTAACCTACTCAGCACCCTTAGGGGTTGTTTGGTAGTGTGTATAGGAATAATGCTGAATAGGGTGTATTAGTAATGGTGGTATTAGTTATGCTTGCATTAATTATGCTGGCATTACTTATGCTGACATATGTCTTATCCATTGTTTGGTTTGATGTATTAAAGCACAATTTCTAAAGGAATTGTTTGTTTACAAAAATACCCTCATAACCAGTGTATCACTTTACCTTTTCAGAAGAAACATATGTTAAGGAATATTTTTATATGAAAATGTTTTAAAAAATTATTTGATTTGTCTACCTATATTGTAGTATCGAACTTAATATTTATTTATAAAAAAAAGAAAATATGCTAAGTATTTATTTATTTATTTACTAGGGATATAATTTTATTTCTCACTTTCTTGGATTATTTCAAACTTGCATTAATATAATAGCATATTTTAATCAAACATAAATTTTGAAGGACAATTTTGTCTTTAACTAAGTTAATGCATGCATTAAAACACATTGCATTGTTAACACCATGGTTTCTTATGCATTAGTTATGCATAGGATAATACCAAACAAGGTGTATAACTAATGCTTGCATAACTAATGCATACATTCAAAAAGTATACCAAACAAGGTATTGCAAATACACAAAGCTAATGCATGCATTATTTTACCTAATGCATCCTACCAAACGACTCCTTACATAAATTACTTCAAAGCCTCCCAGTTTTGAGAGCCTTTTAGCAATGAAACATAAGAAAGTCAGAAAATGTTACTATTCTTTCACTGCTCAATTGTCTAGTGATCTCCTCCCTTGTCCCAAATCACCCACGATGCGAGATGAGATCTTAAACTTGTGACAGTTTAGTGTTTACAATCTGAGAGTCTCTTTTGCTTTTCCTACACAGATATTAACTCAAAACTCTTCTTTTTTCTTTCTTTTTTTCTTTTTTTGCAAGGAAAACTTAAAAGAGTCCACACATTGATGACAATCACTTTATGAAGAATGCAACTAGCAAACCTAAAAAGTTTTGCTTCTTGCTTTGTGAGCAATAAATTTACCACTAGAGAAAGTTAAAATGCAAGAGGCTCACCTTTGAATTGGAAAATTGTACAATTCTACGAGACGTAGGAAGAAAATGAGATACGCGTGTTTCGCTCCTAGCACCACCATCTTCAGATTTTTGGCTGTGTCCATGGCTAAATTGTCTCTGCAAGGATGCATGACTGGGGGAGTCACCAGTGGACCTCTCTCTCACACAAAGAAGCATTCGACCTGCATGGCATATTTATGAAACATACACAAACAATAAGTAGCACCTATAAGCTCTTGCAATTCAATAAGTGAAGTTTTAGCTTTTGAATATTAACAAATGCCAAAACATCTGTACATCAGTACACTAGCTAGTAGAAATAGCAAATGATAGGATGCTGCCCAGCAGCCCAAGAAACAATAAAGTAGCCATTCCACCACACACAAATGCCCAAATATGTTTTGAAAGAGAAGGTTTTCACTGAAAATGAACAAAGAGAACATACATACCGACTATATCAGTGCTTGAAACTCCTTCTGTGCGCTTGATCTGCTTATAGCGACCAACCTTCTTAGCAAGGGCATAAGCATCAGTACCATCGGGAAGAAGACAAGGGTCATCCCCATGAATGATATAGTCTATGTTATACTCATCAAAGAGCTTCCTCATAAAATCTTCAGTAATAGCATAGGGGGCATCAGAGATGACTTCATCCACCCACTTAACAGCTCCGACCATAATCATCCTAGGAAAAATCAACAAACACGAAACTGAGTTAATTCTTTTGATTAAAATCTATCCAAGTAACAGATAAAACAATAATAATAATCACAGCCAAGCACGGTGAAATGAGATCTAATGGTCATGATTTTATTTGTTAAATGCCTTCTATTCTCTCAAGGACAATGGTATCAGACAAAAAGCAAAATGAAGGAATGAAGCCATCAGTTGATTAGGAAACTTCTGGTGGAAATGGTGTTCAGAGCTGAGATAACTGTTCTTTTAAAAGGTAACTGCCCAACCGTTTTCCACAATAATCAAATCACGATATCCTGAAAACCAAACTCAGGGCCGGCTCTAATGTTGTATTTAATAAGGCTTGTGCCTTAGGCCCCCAAGTTTGGGAGGCCCCATTTTTAAGAAATAATAGGTTTATAGGTATTTAAAAAATAATATTTAGTACTTTTAGTACAAAAGTAGATGTCCTCATATAAAAGGAAAGACATTATTTTAGCTATGTAAATAAAGTAATTGTTTGGCTTACTTAAAATGGGTAGTATGAATAGTTAACATGTGAACTGGAATTGATTTGACAAGAAAATAGTACAAATAGAAGATATTACTCTAATCAATATACCCAATCAAATAAAAGATTTTTCGTTTCCAAATGCTTATATTGCTTATAGAATAATATTAACAGTTGCCTCAGTGAAAGAAGTTTATCAAAATTAAAATTGATAAAATCTTAGCTAAGATCAATAATGTCTCAAGAAAGATTAAATGGGCTTGCTATATTAGTTGAAAAGGAATTATTTGAAAAAAATAATTATAAAAATATTATTAACAACTTTGCATCTTGAAAATCTAAAGAATAGACTTCAAATAAAAATATATATTATAACAACAACAACAACAACCCAGTATTACATGTGCTTGAGCCGCCCTTGGCCAAACTTCACCTTGATCTGAGGTCTCCTCTTAGGTAGTTGAACACTGTATAGAGCCTTGTTTCTGTAACCCAGAAAAACCATCCTCACCCAAAAAACACTCTATAGAGCCTTGTTTCTGCAACCCAGAAAACCCACCCTCACCAGTTTCCCACTGTAGGACATGTCTATACAGTGACCCAATATAAAGAACCAGGAAAAATACCAGTTATGCTTTAAGCTTAAGGTTTTGGAAGAAAGATTCGCCTCCTAGTAGAGCTTTAAGAATTAGCTTACCAATCAATCAAAGAGAAAAAAGAGAGAGTAACACTCAAGCATAGCAACCAAACTGTAATGTCTGGGATTGGAAATGGGAAAGAACTAAATAAATGAAGTGGTGTGACGTCCTTTGTACAGTAATTAGAGGGATAATTAACAGTAATTTGACTTAGCAGAAGGTTAGCTATAAAATGGAGACAATTGAGATTGATTACAATGGACGGTTAAGATGCAAATGATGGAGGTATAAATACTTCTGAATTCGGTGTGGGATGCATGGAATATCGCTGGTATGTTTCTGTAATCGTTGCTTTCTCATATCTCTCTCTTCTCTTTCCCCAATTTCTCAGTCTGATCTCTCTTCTTCTCTTCTTCCTAATCCGTTCTAATTCTTCCCTTCTTGCTCAATTCTCCTTCTTATCATGAAACTAGTTACGAGATTAGCTCCAATTTGACTATCCTTCAGGTATGGGTTACTCGAGGTGTGGATTTCAGCTGAAGAACTGAGTTGATTCGAAGAAGTCTTGTTTAAGCTTTGTTGTTGCATTTCTATCCTAGTTCTGTTGTTATCAGTATCCAGTTGTGGACAATATTCAGTGGATTGTTGAAGTATTCCAGTTGTAATTTCTTGTTTAGTTTGAAGAGTTAATAGTGAACTTGCCTAGCATTCCTTGAGATCATTAAAAAAAACTAAAGCATACTACCTCAGCAAATGGCTTTTATCAGCTCAAAGTTACAGAATTCGCATAAAAAGAAGTGCTCATTGGGAATAAAATATTCGTCAAAATTCATTTGTCAAAAAAATCTGACAAAGCAACTGATCTAAATAAGACGGATAATGCGGATGAAATGAAACACTGAACACGCATAATATATTTTTGAATGATAGGAAAAAATGTGTGAATCCGAAAATGTAAGAGAGCGCAGAAAACACCAAACCTCTCGTGAAGAGGAGTGACAGGAGGGCCTTTATTGGCAATGATTTCAGCATCGCTAACTACACCAACAACTAATTGGTCGCCGAGAGCCCGAGCTTGTCGGAGAGCATTGCAATGGCCGTAATGCATCATATCAAAGCATCCATCCATATATACCCGTATAGGTCTCTTCTTCTTCTTCTTCGGTAAAGCAAATCTCAAACCCAACACCGATAACCCTAGCACCACCCCTCCCACCAACCACGTTGCAACGAACCGCGAACTCTGTTGCACGTTTTCCGAATGTCCCGCTTCTGAACCCATTGTTCCACTACTCCTAATCCCTAATCCAGCAAAACGCCTGCTAACATTCCTAATTCCTAATTCCTAATACTGATAAGGCTAATGAATACGTTAGTTTTGCTCAGATGAATATGCTATTCCCAGATGCTTGTCTCCAGATTCTATCTGTGTTCCGTCCTAGACTATAGCGTAAAAGTTCAAAAATGTCCTCTTTTTTTCCGTTTATATATCTCCGTCTCCATCTCCTTTACAATGGTTCCCACTCAAAACAGTGCGTCTTAGAACTTGACCGGACACTTGTACAGCGGTCACACAAACGTAGCGTAACAGCTACTTCACCCCTCGTTGGTTAATTGCATGACCAACCTTATAATTCACTGAAATTACGGTAAAGGTCCAAATATTTGGAAGTCCTTCATAATTTGGCACAAACATGTTCATGTCGCTCAATACTTGGTCCAAATGTGCCTTTAGAATGGAAGGCATCTTTGGTCCACGCGCATATTTTAAGGCATATTTAGCTCATTAAAGTTTTTAAGCTTTTGTGTTATTGAGTTATTTTATTTTATTCATAACAATGTAATGAAAGTTTGTAATGATAAAATCCGTCTCAAATTGATTGATTTTCTTGTGTGGGTCTTAAGTACGAACAAAGAGAAGCAAAGTGTAGAAAAACTTAAACTATTTTATATAGGTTCTCTTCAAACAAAATAGTTTAGGTTTTTTTTTACACTTTGCTTTTATTTGTTCGTATTTGAGATTTACATAATGAAAGCAAATGATTTGAGGTTGATTTTATAATTACAAACATCAATTACATTGCCATAAATCAAACAAGATAACCCGATAACATAAAAGTTTATGATCTTTAATGTGCCAAATATGCCGTCAAGTGTGTGCATGGTACAAAATATATCATCCAAATATGGTCGTTTAAAATAAAGACATATTTGGAGCAAGTATAGGACGGTAGTAGTATGTTTATGTCAAAGTATTAATTATGAGTAAATCCGCTCAATTTTACATAGTACAAAAGCATATTTAAACATTTTTTGTTGAAATTAAGAAATGGCCCATCTACTTTTAAATGTTGCACATGAACTTTTGGCTTAATATACAATTTGACACTATTACTGTCATGGGCGGCTTACCAGCCATGCCCCATGACTCCTTGGGCGCGCCCCGTGGCGTCCTCGCAAGTCTCTCAATGCCTAGCGCCACGGACGGCCCCGTGATCTTGGCCGCGCCAAGTGACAAGCGCGCATGTGCCTCTGTCGCCCCACCGATATCCCTCGCCAACGCCCAACCGCAGGCGGATGCCAACAGCACTGCGCGCGCAGACCCTGATGCCAAAGACTATGCTGCTGAGAATAGACCTGTTTCTGCCTTGTAGAAAACTAAGTCCTTTTCATTGTAAATGTAGAGTAGTTTTATTCCATGTACTTCCATTATGTTTCTCTAGCTTAATCAAGTCTAGTCTTGTAGCTTTGGTTTATTTTTTTAAGTATTATTAGGGGGGATCAAACAATCAAACTTTCTAGCAAGCAAACAATTCTCTATACTGGTGTCTCTCCCCCTCGACACCGCGTTGCCTTTCTGTAATAGCTTTCATTAATGCAATCAAGCTTTCTTTCATTCTCAATTCTCATTTGTGTTCTCTCAATTGCTCTTGACATTGGTTTTCTGTACGGCAATGACAATCTAGTCTAGCGTACGGAGGGGACCTCAGTTGGCGGACAGTAACTGCACTAACATCAGTTACTTATCCTTACGTCTCCCTTCCAAGGAATCTCAGGAAGGCGCCGCGTAACAGTTGGTATCAGAGCCTAGGCTCGACATCGGACGAGGGAACGCATTGCTATTACCACCATTTCTAACCATAGTGAATCATGGGGACCGCATTGCGGCCCTTGAACAGACGGTTGATGGATTACGGCCCATTGTGGATACAGTGCCTGAACTAAGAACCAGCCTAGGGCAAAGGTTGGACGACTTGGACCGTAGGGTACTCCAGACCGAAGTTGACATAGAAAACATCAACCACGACTCTGAGGGAGACCGGCAAACGGCAGCCACAGAGGCAGCTGAAATTTTTAGCAAATTCGAGGGACTCCAACAAGAGCGTGCCGAGGATTTAGCTTACAGGGCACAAGAGGCAGACAGGGCGACTGTCATGCAATAAACTATTGACGACTTGACAGACAAACTCAATGTTGTTAATGCTGCTTTACAAGGCCTGCTTCGAGGTGGTGTAAACCAAATCGGGGGCGTTGTGAACCCCGCTTCCGCGACACAAAAACTAAAAATTCCTGAGCCAAAGCCATACAGTGGAGCTAGGAATGCCAAGGAAGTGGAAAACTTCATCTTTGACATCGAACAATACTTTGGTGCTGTTGGAGGCCTAGAAGAAGCTAAGAAGGTAGCAACTACTGCCATGTATCTTCAGGGTGATGCTAAACTCTGGTGACGAGTGAAGTACGAAGTCATCAAGGCTGGTGAAGATGCTCTCGAGACATGGGCAGAACTGAAGGCAGCCATACGCCTACAGTTCTTCCCTGAAAATATTGAATACAATACAAGGAGAAAGCTACGGGAGCTCCGCCAGACAAAGTCAGTGCGAGACTACGTGCGAGAATTATCTGCGCTCATGCTAAACATATGTGACATGGGGGACAAAGACAAGCTCTTCACCTTCCTAGAGGGGTTGAAACCTTATGCCCGCATGGAACTGCAAAGACAAAGGGTAGATACCCTACCCAAGGCGATCCAAGCAGCTGAATGCCTTGGGGACTATCAAGTGGAAGCTCGGAAGGATCGGCCTCAGCCGCCTGTCCGAGCAGGATTCAAAGGGGGCCAACCTAGCAATGGTGGCTCTAGAAGAAGTGGGGGAGATCGAAGTGCAACCAAATCTAAGCCTCCCTCCTCAGGCAGCAATAGTGTTACGTCAAACAACAATGATCGGGAGAGAAAGCCTCCTTCGGGATGCCATCATTGCGGCGGACCACATTGGAATAATGAGTGTCCAAATGCATAGATGAATGCCCATCAAACCTTTGACGATGGGACAGATGACGACACAGATGATGCAGACCAGACCGAGCCAGTAGGTGCCTTCAATGCAATTTTTAGCTCCATTTCTGAGGCCTTAGCGGGAACAAGTACTGGCATTCATAAGAAGAAGGACCCTTGCCCAAGCACCAAGAAAGGAAAAAAGAAGGCGGATGAGAGGAATCCTCCTAAACAAGAGAGGACCTTAATGTTCGTTGAGATGAAGGTAAATGGCAAGCCCATTCGGGCGATGATAGACACGGGTGATACCCACAACTACTTAGCCTCGACTCAGGTGGAGCGCCTTGTTCTAGTTGTAGGAAAGGCCAGAGATAGTGTCAAGGCTATCAACTCACCTCCTCAGCCAGTGGGTGGGATAGCCAAAAAGGTACTAGTGAAGCTTGGCCCTTACGAAGGGGAAAATTCAACATGCGCGTGGTGATCATAGATGACTTCGAGTTGATAGTTGGATTGGAATTCCTGAGGCAAACCAACACCATGCATGTACCGTATACTGACATGTTACTGATGATGGGAACAAACGGGACCAAGCCCTGCATTATCTCGTGCATGCCCATGAAGATGGCCGTTGAAAACATCTCGGCCTTGCAGTTAAAGAAGGGGGTCAAAAGACATGAACCTACGTTCCTGGCAACCCTCTGCATTGAAGATGTAGAACGCTCCTCGGGTCCCATTCCTGAGCCCGTAAAGGAGCTACTACTAGAGTTTAAAGATGTTATGCCATAAGATATGCCAAAGCAACTAACGCCTAGACGCACTGTGGACCATGAAATTAAGCTTGTGTCGGGCGCGAAGCCACCCGCCCGGGCGCCTTACAGAATGTCACAACCCGAACTCACCGAGCTTCAGAGAAAATTGACGGAAATGCTAGACACATGGATCATCGTGCCCTCCAAATCCCCATGCGGGTCCCTGTGCTATTCCAAAAGATACATGATGGCAGCCTACGACCCTGTGTGGACTATCGGGCTCTAAACAAAATTACTGTGAAGAATAAGTACCCTATTCCGCTAATGGCAGACTTGTTCGATAGACTGGGTGGTGCGACGGTGTTCACCAAAATAGACCTAAAGACAGGTTATTGGCAAGTTCGGATTGCAGAGGGTGATGAACACAAGACGGCTTGTGTAACAAGATATGGGTCGTACAACTTCCTGGTTATGCCATTTGGCTTGACTAACGCCCCAGCTACATTTTGCACTTTGATGAACCAAGTCTTCCGAGAGTACATTGATGAATTCGTGGTGGTCTACTTGGATGACATTGTGGTATATAGCCAAACATTGGAGGAACACCTGATGCACTTGCGGAAGGTCCTAGCTCGATTATGGGAGCATGAACTATATGTGAAGCTATCTAAGTGCTCATTTGCTCAAAAGCAAATTGACTTCCTCGGACATGTCATCGAGGAAGGGCGGATCAAGATGGACCAGCAGAAGATTCAGGCAATCACAGATTGGTCGCCGCCTAAGGATATCCACACCTTAAGGGCGTTCCTTGGTCTATGCAATTTCTATCGGCGATTTGTGAAAACTACTCCCCCATTCCAGTACCATTGACAGAACTCCTCAAGAAGGTCACGCCTTGGGAATGGGGACCCAAGCGAGCGGAGGCCTTCAACGCATTGAAAGCGACTATGTCTTGTAGCCCCGTCTTGGCCCTTCCTGATCTGGCCAAGCCATTTGAAGTACAAACAGATTCATCTGACTATGCTCTCGGTGGAGTCTTGCTACAATAAGGGCATCATGTAGTGTACGAGAGTCGGAAGCTGAAAGATGCAGAGCGGCGCTATGCCGCCCATGAGAAAGAATTATTGGTTGTCATCCACTACTTGCGCCTCTAGAGGCACTATCTATTGGGGACCCCATTCATGATCAAGACAGACAACACAGTTGTTATCCAATTCATGACCCAGCCGAAGTTGAATGGTCGACAGGCCAGGTGGTAGGAACTCCTAGCTGAACTCTACTTCAACCTGGAGTACCGAAGTGGGAAGACCAATCATGTTGTTGATGCGCTCAGTCGGAGAGCTGATCTAGCATCGGTGTGCCTACTCGCTACCCTAAGGGGGAGTGAAGTAGCCACCTCCATCAAGGACCAGATACAGGATATACTCATCAAAGATCCTGCTGCACAGTATTTGGTTGATTTGGTAGGACATGGCAAGACTCACCAGTTCTACATGGAAGATGGTTTCCTGAAAATGAAAGGGAACCAACT